AGAAAAGCAAGAGCGACATGCAAGCCATACAGCAAACTACAAAGTGTCGAAAGCAGAAAAGATAAAGTAAATTGTTAGCGAGATTCAATAAGGTGCGAAAGCGAAGCAAGTTAACAAAATCCTTAAAATAATAATACAAAGCGATAGGTTCTTGAAGGCTTCTATATAAACTAAAATTCTTACAAACGAACGCGGAACTAGCGAGGGACTATGGCCCTGTAGCGATACGACACGGCAGCGGGACGGATCCGCGCCGACGCAAAAGATACTTCCGACAATATTTCAAGGAATCGGGGACTACGAAATACACGCGAGAACAAAGGTTTAAATTCGTATCGGTACGAAAACGCGGCAATAAATTCACTCGCGAAATTTCCCGACAATTGGAAAGAGTCAGACACGCACGATATAAATATGACGATCAGCGCACAGGTATAAAATACACTTAAATAAATTAACACAGGTAATACAAATAAGGTAAATTAGTTACAAGAAATGGCAAGCTCTCGAAAAATAATCACCAGAATAGTGTGATCGGCAAAAATAAATTAATAGGTACGCCACTGATAGTCAGTGCGTCCTGTATTGTCGACTCGGGCGATTACAAAAAAAAGGCCACTTAACGCTCGACCAACAGCGTAAGTTATCGAAAATATTATACTAAGCCCATAATTATGAATTTCTAGAAATTGAAATATTAATTAAATAAAAAGGAGGATGCCATTCCTAATAACGAGAGCGAAAAACATGTGAACAATATAAGACAAAGAAAAGAATTATTTAAAGTCAAAATTCAAAATAATAAGGCGACATATAACGCCGGAAAAAAATAGAAAAGCCCAAAAGACATTCACTAGAAACAATTATGCAGACCCAACGGGAAATGGCCAAGCCGGAGACGCCGGGACCCTAGGGGTTTCCACGTGGTCGAGAAGATAATCGGTAACTTATAAAATATTCGACAATTCCAAAGTACTAAGTTACTGCAAAACGTGATTAATTACAATATATTCAATACTCTACGATAAGAAGAGAAAAACGAAATAAGATAACGGTATCCGGCACTATCGTCCTGTTACTCAGTGGGACTGGAACGACATTCATTCCCGGTAAGCGAGAAAAGTTGCCGTCGAGACAAAGTGCCTAGACGGGATTACTGCACTTAAATTTGCAAAATCTCCAAAATTAAGGTAACGGAAGGTGCTCACCAAAGATATCCGGTACGGAATCGAGGAAATCGGTCCTCAGACTTCCTTTCTTCCTTCCTTCAATATTATAGAATATAAGTGGTAGAATTCGATAATCTCAATGGGTCGAACCCGGCTCGTATTTGTCCACTCGGAATTACTGCACGCGACCACCAGCTGAGATGCTCCAAACGTAAGTGAACGAGCCGGAATTCGTCGCTAGAGGAAGAGCCCTAGGGGCCCCCCTCCATAACTTATTAATTCCTAATTCGCACGGTAGAGCGATAACACAATATAATAATATAGAATAGGTAAATCTAACGCTTGACGGTAGCCAGAGACGAAGCATTAGGCGCTAGAGTCCGAAGATCGGCGGAGAGAGCCGAGCTGAGCGCGGGAATCCTTGGTGCGGCCGATCGTGAGTCCTCGGTGCGAGCAGCAGGATCCAGCGAAGAGTAGGCCCTGGTTTCTTCTCCGGGGGCCACTGATAACAGGAGCGCTAGGGAACGTTCGGCGACTGGGCGGCACGATAGAGGATTATCCTTTCCTCCTATCGGCGGCACGAGTGGCGAAGGCCCTTTTTGCGGTCCGTATGGGCGGCCGGCAGAAGTAGTAGACGGATCCCATCCCGGGTCTCCTTGGCTCCACGGAAGTCCTCCGGAACGAACAGCAGTTTGGTCCAGCCTCTGTCAATCGCTCGTCCGGTAGCTCAGGAACTCTCGTTGGCGGTCAGCCTCGTGCACGTGGTGTAGACGTAGATTTGTGCAGGACGGTAAAGAAGGTAGGCGAGTGCGAATAGGAAAGCTCAAAAATAAAAATAAAAACGAAAAAAGCAGAAAGGCGAAACAGAAATAAGCAGAAAGGACGATAGGCGGAAACAGAGTGCAAAAACGATAAGCGAGACAAGCAAAGTCGTCTTTGGAATGTCGGGTGACTGACGTTTGGAGGATCGTTGCAGGTGGATTATGTTTGTTCCCTACTCCTAGCAATCTTTGTGACTGAATTTCCGAAATTCACGTCACAGGAATATCTGGAGGACGTAAGATTCTATCATGAGACCTACAACGTAGTCTCCTACATCAATATGGATGAGCTGACACTGGAAGAATCGGAAATATCGAAAGGATTAACCACCCTGGGAGCTATTTGTGACAATAAATGCAACGATCGAAATAGCATCATAAGATTACAAAACCAACTAAAAATTATTAGAAAAGATAAGTCTAAGCTATTTTCAGCCATAGGCGTACCCACTCTTTTTAGAAGTAAACGAGACTTATTTAATTTCGTTGGTAGTATTAGTAAAACACTTTTCGGGACCATGAGCGCAGACGATGCATCATATTATAATTCAGAAATAGACGCCGTTCATAAAGACAATAAGAGAATTGGCGAATTATTTAAAAATCAAACTTACATATTGAAACTAAGTCTACAAAAAACCGAAAATCTGTTTGTCGAATATAACGCAAAATTCAAAGACATTGACAACAATTTTAAAAGTATTGACGAAAATTTGAAGAAATTGGCACAAGAGGAAGTAGAATTACAAAAAAATGAATTGATTACTGAAATGTGTCTAGAAGTTGAATTAGCTTTGATGGAATTAGATAGAAACGTTATAATACTAATTGAATCTGTGACTCTTGCCAAAGGTGGACAAATTAATCCTCAATAAATTATTATCGCCCGATTTGCTCACGAGTTCGATAAAGTTGATAAGAGATGAAAAGGGGAAAAGACGTAATGCCCATACCCATTCACGAAGGAAATTATTTTGAATATTTAGAAATCAGCGAAGTAGCAATAAGTGTTATAGGATATAGATTGGTTTATATAATTAAGATACCAATTCTAGAAGTAGGAAACTATATAGCTTATAGAGTAATTCCTGCGCCCAAGCTTGTAAAAGATAATTTAATGGCATATATCTCGACTCCTCACGATTATATCATTACCAATGACGAAAAATTATTATACACTTAGAGTGATGAGCACTTCCTACAAACCTGTAAGGCTCATAAAGGACAACGATTCTGTAGAAGTATTTATCCAAAGTATTATATCAAGGCACACGATACCTGCATGAGCATAATTGTCAATGAACCGTTCAAATTAAAGGAAGAAGATTGTAATGTTAAAATTATATCAATAACTCATACGATGTGGATACAATTCAAAAATAACAACAAATGGCTATACGCCACACCTTCGTGAGAATCGATAAAAATTATTTGCAATAAGACAGTAGAAGAAACAATTATAACGGGAACAAAAATTTTATGGATTGCGCCTGGATGCACAGTCGTTTCAAACGATGTGATACTTCACTCACAAACAGAAAGGATCGTAGAAAACAATAAGGCCTTTACACCTTTGATAACGTATAACTT